GCGGGGGGAGACCGTGCGCAGCGGCCGGAGGCCGTGGGATGGCGGGCCCGCCGGGGGTCTCACCTGCAGCGGGGAGGGTCCTCCAACACCAGCACGCGGCAAGAGCAAGATGGCTGCCTTAGCTGAGACAGAGAAAGACCGCGGCGGCGGCGGCAGCGGGAGCGGCCCACGTGACGCACGGCTCCGCCTCGCCCGCGGGAGGCGGGAGTGGGGGGTGGGGAGGGTATGGCAGCCACGCGCCTCCCAACTACAAAGCCCAGCCTGCCTCGCGCACCCCAATATTCTGATTGGCGGCGGGTGCTGGGGCCGCGCTGCATCCTGGAGGTGGCCGTGCCCTCAGCGCCCCATTGTGTCTGCGCTTAACTTTTGTCTTGGACCTAACGGAGGGACGGCCTGGAGTTTAGTTTCGGTGTATACTTGGTTGGGATGTTGTTCACTGATGGACTCTTCTAGTACCAGGAGGGAAAGTCGGGAAATGTTGACTTGTTAGGTTGTAGAACGGAAAGACATACTCGACCCAAGACAGAAACCAACAGATTTAACGGAAAGAAGCGCTACACTTAAGTGATTGTAGTGACTTATATTCCGGCTCCCTAGGTTCACCTCATCAGTTGTGAAATAACTAGGCCTCAAGCATGGTTTTCTTGGTGCTTGCGTCAGTTGCTTGCATCATGCCTGAGTGAAGACATGCGGATGCGAGGGGAAGAAAAGGTCCAGAGCTACTCCAAAGTGCGTGCCTGCAAGACACAGACGTGTGCATCGCAAAACGCGCTTACTGGGTGCGTTTCTAAGGAATCTCGAGGAGAAATCTAACAATGAAATACTGTAGTCCAGTCTTTTTACATTTGCACAGTGGGGCGGGAATTTCCAAGCCAATGGGTGACTTGTCTGTTGTGAGAGGCTGATCTCATAGATAATAATTTGCATTTCAAATATTTAGTGCAGTGGTCCTTGGGAGGGAGGGATTAGGCTGGAGGTCAGACGCAATTAACAACGATTTTCCCGAACCTCTCTCCCCATTCCCCACCATCACGGCCCCCCTTATGCTGCTTTGTCCCTAGACCTAGACATCCAGGATTTAGGGAAAGTAAACTCAAAATGTACGACCCCATCTTTTTGAGTGATCTGCACCTTTAAACTTACTCCATTTCAAAGCGGACCCCGGAGGCACCGCCCACATCCGTCTAACATCACTTCCTTCAGTGTTTGGGAGAAGGGAAAAAAAAAAGAAAGAAAGAAATCTGGGAATTTTCTTTGGGGTTGGCCTGAGCGGCGATAGTACAGCGGACCGGACCTTCTGCTGGGAATCCTGTGTTCTCTCAGTCCGGTGGCCCAGTGCAACCACCACCATGGAGATGTCGCTTCGTTTCGAGGCCACCTGTTTGCTGTGCTGCAGTTTCCTGCTCCTCATCACTTCTTCAGACGGACGCACTGGGCTTGGAAAGGGTCAGAACTCATTCTTATCGTATTACCGGCCTGGGGTCCCCTTCTTGTCCTAATACTTTCGCTGTATTTTAGGCCACACCAGATTTCTTTTTATCTTCCTCAGCTGCTCCGGGGGATTTCTTGGGGTAGGGATTACTTACCTGGTCGGAGAGGATTTAAGAGAAGGAAGTTGTACTTGAGGGCGCTCTTAATTCTTGGGTTTGTGAAGATATGACCCTTAAATTAGTACTAGGCTATTTAAGAGTCCAACATGTGTAGCACTGGGAGCTTGGGAAAACTTTCTGGAACTGTCCACCTTCACACCTGAAGAAATAGATAGGGTCTCTGGTGACTTGTGTATCAGAGATAACTGCTTGAGTTTGAAGATCCTCACCACCCCCAAGACCCAGCTCCCCATTCATTACCCGGGAGATGCAGAAGAAAGAGCCAAATGAAGGCTAGGTCTTCTGCTAGGTTACCAACAGTTGTCTTTGGTGTAACTCAGCTAGTGTGTGGAGGAAACAGACTTTTAGATGGAGGCATCGGTGGTTATGAATGAAGGTTAGGAAGAGTGAACCCTCTACTCCATGCTGTTACCTGCATCTTTCCAAACTTGAATATCTTCTCGTCAGTTCTTTTTTGAAAGCTGAATTGGCTAACTGGATGAGATGTAAATGGGTCCCAACCTGCTTTGATTATTTTTGTGTCCTGATCTTACTGTGTGGGTTCCTCCTGCCGCTGTTGCTATGGTGGGGTGTGTGTACGTATGCGTGTGTATTAAGTGTGGTATCTGCCCACGTGTGTGCTGGTGCATGGCACACATGACTAGGCCAGAAGAGGATGCTAAGTGTTTGCCTCTTCTGCTTGTTCTCCACTTATGAGACAGGGTGGTCTCATTGAACCTGAGCTCACCATTTAGGTTAGAGTTTCTGTGAGTTCCTGGGATCCCAGTGAGTTCCTGGGATCCCATCCGCCATGTTTGGAGTTACATGCTTAAGTTGCCATGCCAGACTTTTATATGGTTACTTAAAATTTGAACCCAAGCCCTCTTGTCTCCACAGCTATTCTGATCCTCTGAGCCATCTCCAGGCCCAATCATACTGCTTTTAATTTTAAAAGATTGTGTGTGTGTGTGTGTGTGTATATACGTGTGTCTCTGTGTATGTGTGTGTTTGCACACTCGCAAATGTATGGTCCAAGTAGGCCAGAAGAGAGTTCCAGTTCCCCAGGAGCTGGAAGTACAGGCACTTATGAGCTGCCTCTGGGTGTTGGGAACTGAACTCTGGAAGAATAGCATGTTCTTTAACTATTGAGCCATCTCTCCAGCCTGTTTGTTTGTTTGTTGTTTTGGTTTGGTTTGGTTTTTGTTTTTCAAGAAAGGGTTTCTCTTGGTAGTCTTGGCTGTCCTGGAATTTGCGTTGTAGACCAGTCTGGCTCGGAACTCACAGAGATCCACCTGCCTCTGCTAGGATTAAAGGCATGTGCCACCACTGATCGATTGTTGTTTGCTTTTGTTTCTTTTTGTTAGTTTGGTTTGGTGTTGGTCTGGTTTTTTGAGACAATGTCTTTCTGTGTAGCCCTGGCTGTTCTGTAGCTTGATCTATCGACCAGGTTGGTCTCGAACTTAGAGATCCTCCTGCCTCTGCCTCCTGAGTGCTGGAATTGAAGGTGTGCATCACCACCACTGCCCGGCTGTTGATTATTTTTAATGCTTCTCATTTTTTCATTCTTTGCTGGGCAATGAATTTGAGGAGAAATTCAGTGGGCCTGAACACAGTTACCTGTGTTAGTATTGATTTTTGATTACCAATCATACTTTGGTCATTGACTTGGGTACTAGAGATGTGGCAATGAAGAGAATAGACCAAGTTCTTGCTTTTGGTGGGTGTGTATTCAGGTCAGAAAGAGGGTGAGAACAGACTAGGTCATAACAGATTACTGAGAGAATTTCAGCTTTTATCTTATAATACTGTGGTAGAGTAAGAAGTTAAGCTGAGGAGGGCAAGGGAGCTGCCGTTTATTGAGTTAGGAAGCTGAAAAAAAGCTTTTCTAAGGTGATGTGTGGATGTCTACCTATAAAGGATGTGATACACTGCGCAGTGAGTCCCATTAGGTCAAAATGTTTCAAATATTGGTAATCTTACTGTAAAGCAGACTGTCCTGTGTATAACTTACATATAAGTTCTATGGAATTAAGATTATATCATACTCACTCCACCACCAAAAAAAAAAAAAGTACTTCCGAAGGCCAGAGTTCCCAGGATTTCTGACACGTATTGTTTCTTCCGGGATGTCTCAATAGCTCCAGCTCTTTCCAGAAGATTCCTTGGCTGTTTGCAGAGAGGAAAGACGGAGTGACCACCCTTCCTTCCCTCCCCCAGCAGTTTTCATTGGAAAGAGCAAACAGAGCAGTGTGGAGTGTGCGCTATACAGGGATTTTAGGCCTAGATTTTAATCTTGGTCAGGTCGTTTAGCCATCTCTGGTCTTCCCCTGGTTACCATTTATTAAGGGAGAAGGTTGGGCTAGAGATGTGTCCTGAGGGCCTTCCAGCTCTAACATCCCAATGTCTGAGAACACTGTTCTCTGAAGACTAGAAATCGCAACTATCTCCCCATGAAGAGAAGCGGAATGACTGACGTTTACTTCTCAGTGCTGCACCGCTCTGTGCCTTTTCCTACAGCCACTGTTTTAATTCTTAGAGTAACTCTGTGAGGTGGGTAATATTTCTCTTGTCATCCCCATTTCACAGATGAAGACTCTAAAATGAGGCATTGGGAGTTAAGTGGACAGCAGGAAGATGAGTCCCAGAGCCCATGTCCTGTCCGCACCACTGTGGCCTCCAGTGTAAGGAGGAAACTAGCCATTCATGCGCTCATCCCGCCCGCAATAGAAATGGATGATTTCAATCTCTGGAATTATAAGTTGGCACAATAACACTCCATGCCACAGTCCCATCAGGAGACATGTTTTTGTTAGCTATATTTAGCATTTGTGTAAACGATAGAAGGTCTGAACTGCAATCCTCTTGTCCACACTGCTACTCTACCTTTCAGGTTCAGTGTTCCCTGTCTCAGGCCTGGCTGCCAGCTCTGACCCTTGACCTCTTGTTATTTAGTTTTCACCAGCTGGAGTGTGGGGTGATGCTCTTCTAATGTCTTTAACACGGTTTTTAGGACAAAGCATGGACACGGACATAAATAGTGAGTTTGGAAATGGCTTATGCCTGTTTTAGGCATCGTCTTGGGAAAGAACTGTTGGTGCGGAAGCCTTTAGCTTCCTTTGCAGATACCTGGGGTGAACTGTCTTGCGGAACTGGACTGTCTTCAGAGGTTCCGAGCTCCGTGACCATGAGTGTGGATGCTTAAAACCATACCTGTATAGGTTCTTTTTCAAGGAGAGAACAAAAGTAAAGCAAAACCCCCAGTTTTCAGTTGTAGAGCTGAAAAATGCGTTCTCGAGGTGCATTCCCTCATTCATTTATCCATTAACCATTGTCAGTGAGGCAGGAAGCATAGGGAATAGCTCTGACTGTAGGTGCGACCACCTGCATTCCAGGCCTAGCTCTGCCTCTCACAGGCCTGTGACCCTGGGCAGGTTCTTTCACTTCCGTTTCCTTATCTGTAAGAAGAAAGGATAGAGTTAGCACCTCATAAGGTTATTTTGAGGACAAAATAAATTAATACCTGTAAACAGTAAACACATTTTAAAAACCGCTATGCTTAAAAACACATCGTCAGTATTGTTTTTGTTATCATAAGCTCTTAGATTTTTCATCTCCTTGCATCTGTGCTGCATTCAGGAGAGCTGGTTACCGCCTGTCTCTAAGGTTGCTCTTTTAACCAAGCCATTGAAGTTTTTAAAAACTGAGCAAACAAAAGAGGGGCCTGAGAGAGGGTTCAACAGAAGCGCTTGCTGCACAAGTGTGTCCACTTATGTTTGACTCCTGGAACCAACACAAAAGTGAAAGTAGAGAATTCACTCCATAAAGTTTTTCTCTGACCTCTACACAGGTGCTATGGCGTGTACCCCCACATGCACATTTGCACACATGTAGTAAGGAAGAAAAAGGAAAGATAGAGCAGAAACTACAGTTTACATAGGTGCCCTTTCTCCTTCCCATTTCCTGTATTAGCAGTGACACGTTTACTCCAGTTGATATTACATTTTAAGCCTGTCCTGGAACTAGCTCTTGTAGATCAGGCTGGCCTCAAACTCACAGAGATCCACCTGCTTCTGCCTCCCGAGTGCTGGGATTAAAAGCAAGAACCACCACCCCCTGGCTACATTTCACTCTTAGTGTATGTTTTGTACATTTTGACAAATGGAATGTCACTATTAGTTTGCCAGGGCTGCCATAGTAAGTACTATAGATCAAGTGGGCCTCTATTTATCTTGATTTATGTTCGTGTGCGTTCATGCATATAGAGGCCGGAGGTCAACCTCAGGTACTGTTTTTCAGATGTCTAGCCACCTTGTTTTTGAGACAGGGTCACTCTTTGGGACCAGACTTGGCTGACTGGCTAGAGAACTCTAGGGATCTCTGAGTCTTCACCTCCCCAGCTTTTTACATGGATTCTGGACTGGACTGGAGAGGGTCTCATGCTTGTGTAGCAAACATTTTACAGACTGAGCACTGCACTGGATGGTTTTAACATCAGAAGTTTATGTTTTGATGTTTCTAATGACTTAAGACCAAGATGTTGACAGTGTTGGTTTCTACTTTTATGACTCTTTTCTCTACTAACATGGTCTTCCCTCTGTGTGTATTTAATCTCTTCCTTCAAGAATTAGGGTCAACTTCATTACTTCTTTAAAGACCACGTCTTCAAGCAGTGTTGTATTTTAAGGCACTGAGGATTAGAACCTCAACATAGATAGGGAGAGATATTATGCACAGTTCAGGCTGTAACAACCAGGATCTGACAGTGCACTATAGTGTTACAAAATAGCTTGCTGGTATTCTGGGTTCTGGGGCTCAAACTTTACTGCCTGAGATAGCTCCTTGGCCCCTACATTTTTTTGTTTGCTTGTTTGTTTCTGTTGTTTGATTTTGAAACGGAATTGAATAAATCCAGACTGGCCTCAAAAATTCAAACACACTTAGTATGACTCCAAGAACAACCTTAAACTTATGATCCTCTTGTCTCCACCTCTTGAATGCTGGAATGGCAAATGCTACCTTTTCCTGATTTAGATTTAGTTTCTTTTGTGATTCTGTGAGTTATTTCTCTAAGCACTTCATATGTAGTTTTTGTTCTGTTTTGTTTTTAATTCTGTGATCGATAAATCTAATGCCAAAAGTCCTCATGGTCTAAGTCACTCTGCTTCTGATGATTTGTTTGTGCATGTGTGCTAGTGTGTGTGTGTGTGTGTGTGTGTGTATGTTTAAAGCAATTTGTGGATTTATGGTGGTAAACTCACAATAGTTGTTCATCATTCACCACCTTAGAACCCTAATTCCTAGGGGAACACTTCCCTCTAGAAAGGTTTCATATTTACTGAGGGTGGGGGCGGGTGGGGATGGACTGGGGAGCTGGGTTTCGGACCTAGAATTCCTTTAGGGTTTTTTTGTGGTTTAATAGGAGAGTCTCAGGCTCATCTCTGGTTTGCCACGTCATAGAAGGTGTTTGCTTTTGAGGTGGGTGGCCTCACCTTTGCTTGTCCTTCCAACTTCAGCTCACTTTGTGTTTGCAGAGGGATTTCCATGAGTCCATTTTATCTGGGATGTCATTGTTGTGTGGGTGGGTACCGCTGCAAGCTCTTTAGTCAGGCATGCTGCCAAAGCAGAACCCCATTGTCTGGGGTTTAAGGCGCGTGAGTAGTGATGATAAACCTTCCAGCCCTGGGCGTCCTCCCAAATTCACTCTCAATGATTCACTTTTCGGGATCAAACTTTGGACCTTAGGCAGGTGACACTCCCCTCCCCCTTGGCCTGTGCCGCCCCCCCCCCCCCCCCCCCGCTGTTGACATGGGAAAATGATGATGGTTAGTTTGGATATTGCTCCTGTGTGTTAGCGCTCATGAGCTGCTGTTCCCCCGTGGTAGAACACTGATAACAATTAGATTGTAATTCATTTGGGGGAAATAAATTTCTGAAAGACAAAGGTAGTGACTGAAAAGGCACAAGGCTGGATGTGAAGTCCCAGATTAGCAGTGAGATAACATGGGATAGCTTGCTGGCTTCCCAGAGCCTCAGCTGTAAAGAAAAGCAAAAGCTACTCTGAGCACATTATATGAACACTGATGTTCACATGCTGACTGTGTTAACGTTTTTGTTTTTTGCTTGCTATTCAGCAATAAGCTTATGAGAGACAATTATTATAGTAATTCGAATCCTGAGAAAACTGAAATATAGAGAGGGGAAATAGTGAATTATTGTCAAGGAAACATGAGTTGGCTTGTAAAATATGCTGTCCAGATGTTAATAATAGCAGATACAAGGAACATCCTAGAAGAGAGGGCAAAAAGTAAAGGCCAGAGGATGGGAAGGGATGCTGTGAAATGTTGTCTTCTGGACATGACATAGCAGTTGTTCCTTGAACTCAGTATCTGTGGCTGTCTGCAGGAGGGTCTCACAAGGCCCCACTCCCCTGTGAGGAGAAAGAACCGGAGTCGCCACAGAACACACCAAGACTGAGTTCGCAGCACAAAGGAGATTTATTTGCCCCAAGTGGACAAAAGGCAGGGAGTAAGAGACAGAGACAGGAGATAGATCTCAAGAGAGAAGAGGAAAGGGGCAAGGGGGTTAATGTTTGACCTGGAGGTAGAGAGGAGTTAGACATGGCACACAGGCAATGACAGTGTCTAAAGGGAAAAGAGAAACCCCATGTTAGGATGAGTTGGTTCATTTTATTTGGGCATGTTAATTAGAGTTTTAAATTAAGAATTTAATAATTTTCTTACTAATAGAGCCAAAAGGGGACTTTTGATTGCTGGACTTCAATACTTTGATAGCTGAACCTTGGTGGTCAGCCTCAGGAGGAGGAAGTGGCCAAATCAGGGAATAGACCTGGAGGCTAGCTTCAGGAATGTAAGCTATGGATTACCAAGGAGGAGAAAGGTAAAAGACAAAACCTGTCAGAGCTGTGTTTGCCATGGGCTTGCAAGAGCCCTTCAAAAGGTATATAACTTAATGGCTGCTGGAGAAGGTGTCATTCCTCGGTGGTGTAGCCATTAGTAAGGTGCCCTTGCTCAAGTAAATAACCTCCCAGCCAGGCTCATGCATGCAACCCTAACTAAATGGGCACGTACACAAATAGGAGGAGGACTTACTAGGAAGAAGGGTGTTAGTGGGAGGGGAAAGAATAAAAGAGGATAATAGATACATGAAAATTGAAAAATACATTTAAATAAATAGCAGCTAACATTATGATCCCTAACATTTTCTGGATAGAACATAAGATTCTCAAGAACTCTTATGGAGTACTTGCATGTGTACTGGTACGTGCTAGGGAAACAGGAAAAGAGGCAAGGGGAATTCCCCTTGGAGTTAGGAAAGTGGACACAAATGGTAAAGAATGTCTGGGAAGTATTGTGGTGGGGGAAGAATGGAGTGATTTGAGAGCAGGCCTTATCAGAAGACGGGCTCTCTGGGCTTTCTGCCTCAGTGCTGAGCTGGATAGTGTGGGGAAGAAAGGCAGAGGTGGACCAATTACGAAAAAGCCTGGAGGGGAGACGGAGCAGTGCTGTGTGTAAAGAGCCAGAAAAACTTCTGTGTCTTGAGTTTTAAGAAAAGTGTAGAGTTAGGTTGCAAAAGTGAGTGGATGTTTTCATTTGTTTGTTTGTTTTTAAGACAAGGTCTTGTTTTTAAGACAAGCTGTCCTGGAATTCTGTGTACACCACACTGACCTTGGAACTCCCAGAGTTCCACCTGCCTGCTCTTCTCCCTGAGTGCTAGGACTAAGGGTGTACACCGTCACAGCCAGCTAGGTTTTTTGTTTTGTTTTATTTGGGTTTTTCAAGGTGGATTTCTCTGTGTAGCCTTGGCTGTTGTGGAACTCTGTAGACCAGGCTGGCCTCCAACTCTTACAGATGTGCCTGCTCTACCTCCAGAGTGCTGGTATTAAAGGTGTGGTCCACCACACTGCTCAGCCAGGTCTTATTTTCTTTCTTTCTTTCCTTCTTTCTTTCTTTCTTTTTCTTTTTTCTTTTTTTTTCGAGACAGGGTTTCTCTGTAGCTTTGGAGCCTGTCCTGGAACTAGCTCACAAAGATCCGCCTGCCTCCCGAGTGCTGAGATTAAAGGCATGCGCCACCACCACCCGCCTTAGGTCTTATTTTCTTATTGAAGCCTTTATAAGCACTTCTTTTATCCTTGGGACATTAACTATTCTCTGAAATTTTTCTTACTAAGCAGTAATGTAATTGAGAAAGATCATGGGGTCCAGGGAGGTGGGTCAGTGGGTAAAAGTGCTTACCACAAATCTTGTCAACCTGAGCTCAGTCCCTGGGACCCACATGGTGGAAAGAGAGGGCCAACTCTTTTCTTTTCTTTTCTTTTAATAAAATTTAATATCTTTTTTTTACATTTATAAAGTTGATTTTTTGTAAAGTAGGTTATGGAAGGGAAAGGGAAGAAGGGGAGAAGAGCAGAGAGAGAGAGAGAGAGATAAACAGGGAGAAGGGGAGAAGTGGGGAGAAGGGAGAGACAGAAGCTACTGAGAGAGAGAGAGAGAAGAAACGAGGGACAACTCTTGAAGGTTGTCCTCTGACTTCCACACAGAGGCTGTGACATGTGAATGCCCAGATAAATAAATGAACATAGTTTTAAAAAGAAAAAAAAAATCTGGCTGAATTGTGGGAATGACAATTGATGCACCTGACCTCATTTATTAGTTCCTTATGTCAATATTCAGAGGTAGAAATTGGTGTCTTGATTTTCTGGATGGTGAGATTGGGACTTAGATGGCTTCATTCAAACCCCATACACCATGGGAAGTGGAGTTCCGGATCTATGTCTTTGCGACTCTAAAGCCGCACCTCGTGTCATGTCAGTGATGTGCTCTCTGTTTACACTGTGGAACATTCTCATTCATTCTTACAGTATTGTTGGCCCAGCATTTCACGTCATTATTTGATCTCCATGGCAGTCATTAATTAGACGGTGTCATCTTCATTGAGAAGCCTGAAAACAGACTTGGGGAGTGTGACGGTTCATGGTTTATACCCAGAGAACAGTAAGCTAGGTGTTGAGCGCCAGGCTCTTAGCAGAGGAAAGCTGTTTTGTTTTGTTTTTCCGGTTTGTGACACCATTACAAACATGTCTCCCTTCTGTGCCAATGCTCTGGTCATTGTATGGATGTTTATAAGGCTCTTTCCTTCTAGGCTTTGGAGATCATATTCACTGGAGGACATTAGAAGACGGGAAGAAAGAAGCAGCAGCAAGGTATGAAATGTGGTGTCGTGCCCATTGACAGTGACAAAACTTTCTAGCCATTAGCTTAGCATTGCTTTCAGGTGAAGGGTCATATTCAAGGCCCCATAAGAACTAAATAATACTCAGGAGGCAGAGGTAGGCAGATCTCTAGTTCGAGGCCAGCCTGGTCTACAGAGCGAGTTCCAGGACAGGCTCCAAAGCTACAGAGAAACCCTGTCTCGAAGAACAAAAAAAAAAAAAAAAAAAAAAAAAAAAGCTCAGCACATACTGTGTACTGTGTATTAGATAATCTTAACCAACTCATTTAGTTTTCACATTTCCATGAAGTATGTTCCTTTGTTTTTTTAGCAATATGAAATTAAGCCACTCAACAGTTAATTTGTCCAAGATCACAAGTTGGTATAAAGTAGAGCTGAGCTTCTAACACCTTTTTAGGTTCTTTAACTAAAGAACCTGTGCTCTCAACCGTAAGTTATACTACCTACTAACCTAAAGCTAAAATGGTGTTGTGTTTCAGGTCTGTGTACAACAACCCAGAGCACAAGGCCTAGGGGAGGAGGCAGAGGCTGGGAACTGTCAGTTTTACAGGGACTGGTTTATTTAGTCTTCACAGCCTCTGAGATTGGTACACCAATGAAATAACTGTTACATTTTATAGAAAAGAAACTGAGATACAGAAAAGTGAAGCTACTTTCCAGTATTTAAACTGCTATTAAGTGGTAGAGCCAGGACTTTCATTTCGCTACTGTAGTGTATTGGAGACTTACTCTGCCCCAAAGTATGTGTCCTATATTCATATCACGATACTGGCACAGATATGCTCACACTTACACTTCTACACCTACCAAGCTAGTAATTGCTGTTTCAAAACAGATCCTACAGCCTCTTGACACTGGGGTCTCAAACTTCTGCAATAGAATTGCCAGATTTAATAATAGAAATAAAAGATGCCCAGCTAAATTTAAATTTTACACATAGGAAAATAGAATATGTCCATGCCGCTTAATGCAATTTTTAAAAATTTTAAATTCAGATTTAATTGAGAAATCTGCATTGTATTTGACAACCTATCCAAGATGAAAATTCCCATTAGTCTTTCAAGTTAAACAAATAATTCAACCCGAGGATTTAGTTCAGTGGCCGAGTGCCTGCATGAGGCCCGAGCCCAGCACGATCTCCCAGACAGACAAATTCAAATATCAACCAAGTCTTCAACGAGTTTTCTGGGCATCTCTCCACTTCTGTTCTTCACACTGACATGGCTACCCGTAGCATTTTTTACTGTGTGTGGGCACTTAATTCTTCCAGTTAAGACCCTGGATTTCCTTAGGGGAACAGTTTTATGTTCATATCATACCATGGAAAGATGTTGACGATTGAAATAGTTGTTATGAGTAAACATTTACTAAGAGCTACTAGCTGGAAGAGAAGTCCTGACTAGAGAAGCTTCATTTGTAATTTGCTTTCTGTGTGCTAAATGTGGTACTAGTCATTTTGTAGACTGCCATTAAATCCTAATTAATGGGCATTTTCTTTGACGGCAGGGCAATCATATTTTCTTAGGCCTATAACATATGGTGTAAATAACTGATGCCATCTAATCTCCGTGTCTGCTTTCTGAGAATTTGGTCCATGAACCGGACGATTTGGCGTTCCCGTTTCCATAGAAACAAGCGCTCGCGTAGGAAAAACAGGACGTTCGGGTTTCACTTCCGGTTCATGCCGGAAGTTGACTCGACCGTCCGCACATGGATGGCCTTAGGGAGGATGCCGCTCGTGGTGTTTTGTGGGCTGCCGTCGAGCGGCAAGAGCCAGAGGACTGAAGAGTTACTCCGGGCGCTGACCGGCGAGGGCCGAACGGTGTACGTGGTGGATGACGCTTCCGTGCTGGGCGATCAGGACGCGACGGTGACGGCGTATGGCGACCCGGCCCGTGAGAAGGCGCTGCGTGCGGCGCTGCGGGCCGCGGTGGAGCGGCGCCTGAGCCGGCAGGACGTGGTCATCCTGGACTCCCTCAACTACATCAAGGGCTTCCGCTACGAGCTGTACTGCCTCGCGCGGGCCGCGCGCACCCCGCTCTGTCTGGTTTACTGCATACGCCCGGTCTGGCCGAGCCCTAGACCTCAGGGGGCTGCTGCCGCTGAGAACCGCGACCCGGCGGCTGTCAGTGTGAGCTGGAGGCCGCGCGCCGAGAGGGGCGAGAAACCTCAGGTGGCCGGCGCCGTGGGGGAACAGCGCCCCTCCAGCCTGTTAGCAAATGGGTCAGCCCTGCCGGCTGTCCCCAGGGAACTGGATCCGGAGGAAATACTGCCATCAAATCCTCCAGCGGGAGTAACTCCGGAGCCCGAAAAGTCTGCGAAGCCTGCTTCCCATGCCTTTCCTCCCGAACTTTTGGAGTCCTTAGCGCAGCGCTTTGAGGCTCCTGACTCTCGGAACCGCTGGGATCGACCATTGTTCACCGTGGTGGGCTTTGAAGAGCCATTGCCCCTAGCTGAGATCCGATCTGCGCTGTTCGAGAACAGGGCGCCCCCGCCCCATCAGTCTACGCAGTCCCAGCCCCTATCCTCTGGCAACTTTCTGCACCAGCTGGACCAGGCCACGAGCCAGGTGTTGGCTGCTCTGATGGAAGCACAGAAGGGCGCTGTACCCGGAGACGTGTTAAAACTTCCGGGCACCACGGAGCACCTCCTGTTTACCCGGCCCTTGACTATGGCGGAACTGAGTCGTCTCCGTCGCCAGTTTATTTCCTACACAAAAATGCATCCCAACAACGAGAACCTACCTCAGCTGTCCAATATGTTTCTTCAGTATCTGAGTCAAAATTTGCTCTAATAGAGGCACTGAGAGGCGACGATGGTTCCTTTCTAAATTCCACTGTACTTTGTCCGGGAGGAATAGTGTGAAGTTCTACAGAGCCTACTGCAGTACTAGGATTGCTAGGGTTGACTGACTCATTTTCCTGGCTGCCGCTGATCGTGCGCCCGCGTGTATAGCGTAAGCTAAGACGTAGGAGTAGTAGCTCCAGATATCTCAGGTGGGCGGTTTTTCTTAGGTTGAACTCTGCCTGGGGATATTACATCTGGATGGAGGAGAATTGTTTTAAGTCAACTGTGAGTAGAAGACGAAGATGATACTGTTTTGTATGGCCCTTTCATACTACAAATATATTTGAGTACAGTACTTCTTGCTATCTATCCTGCAACATCGAGCACAGATACGTTTTTTGTTCTGGGAAACTGATATTTGTATAAGACAACCATTAGTTATTTCCTCTAATAAAATTTTTCAAAGTTGTCTGCTGGACTCTTCATGTAATTTAATGTTATCCCTGTAACTTAATACTTTATATTTACATGTATCGTGGCATATCTTTGACTGATAGTATTTTTTATATGAGAGGCTCAATTCTTTGGCCTTTATGTTTTGGCACCTTCCATAGCAATTGTGCTTCATCTTATATTTCAAGGCAAGCATCACTAATCTTAATTTTGTTGGTAACAGACAGTAAATACTGGATTCCCGTTATCCGTATGATTTTTTTCAGACTTGGCTTTGGTCTTGAGTAACTGTTTGTGTGGAATGCTTAATTGAATGAAGGGTGGCCATCACAGAACCTGTGGAGGATTAACTAGCTGCTGGAAGAAGGTGCTTTTGGGAGACTATAGAAAAGTTAGTATTTGAAACGCAGCTGTAGAAAAATGGTCAGCAAGCATTCTGTCTAGATGACTTGTAGAAGGACACTGCAACGACCAAAAAAAAAAAAAACCCACTGGTTTTGGAATCCGTCTTTTTGTTAGCTTATAAATGGCAGAACTTAAATTTCATATGGTCAGTTAATATCTTGGGAGTCTTGGTCTTTCTGGGTGGGGCTGGGGATTGAACCCAGAACCTGATGGGCAAGTACTCTACCATTGAACTACATCACAGATTAATTTTTTCATTTCTATGAGACCATTACTAGTATCCACCCTAGATAAGTGTGTTGGAGTATGCTTGTAATCCTAACTCAGGAGACTGAGGCAAGAGAATTGCCGTGAGTTTGGGCCATTTTCGGTTACAGAGTCAGAGACCCTGAATCTAAAGTCAAAGCACGATGAGATGGCCAGTCATGCATCCAAGCGTAACAGTCCAACTTCAGTCCCCAGGACTTACACCATGGAAGGAGAGGACCTCTGACCTCCAGTGTACTTGCTCTCTCCCTTCCTTGCTTGCTAGGTCTCCCTTCCTCCCTGGAACGTGCAAGGCACGCACACACTGAAATAAACATAATTATTATGCCAGGCGGTAGTGGCACACACCTTTAATCCCAGCACTCAGAGGCAGGCAGATCTCTGAGATCAAGGTCAGCCTAAATACAATTATTGTTCACACTCCAAGAAATTTTTTATTGGGGTGAAGGGTCTCACTATGTAGCCTTGGTTAGCCTGAAACTCATTAGCCAAACTAGCGTTCAGATTCAGAGATCAGCCTCCAGACTGCTGACAGTAAAGCTATGTGTCACGATGCCTAGCTCATAATTGTAATTTTTAAGAAGTTTCTACCCTGGGGTTTGTGGGGCTGTGGAGTTTAATGCATTTTGGTTATGGTCACCTACATCCTGCCATCTACGTACACTTGTCCTTCTCATGGGGTTTATAAGCCTTTACAGATACCAGAGGCACAGGTCAGTCCATTCAGATTCTTAGTAAGCCTGAGGTGAGGTAGATAGTTCACCTAACACTTACTAAAGGAGCTAATCATGTACAATAGCAGTGGTATATAGTGAATACTGTGTGCTTGATGTCAGTAATACTGTATGTGTTGGAGGTAAAGACAGCTGAGAACACCTTGTCTCAGGAATTCTAAGTGTAATAGAAACATTTTACCCACTGAACCATCTCCCTGGCCCTATTGATTTTTTTTGTTTGTTTGTTTGTTTTCTTTTGTTTTGTTTTTAAGACAGGGTTTCTCTAACTTTGGAGCCTGCCCTGGAAACTACCTCTTTTAGACCAGGCTGGTCTCGAACTCACAGAAATCTGTCTGCCTCTGCCTCCCGAGTGCTGGGATTGCAGGTGTACACCACTACTGCCTAGCTCCTATCGATAATTTTATATCCTTATTTTATACTTAGCATATTAATGGAAGGCTTTATTTACATTTTCAGTTATGTAATAATCACTTTGAGATACAGTAACATCCAAGATATTATAATTTTGTTTTTCTCTTATTTCACCTTTTCTGTTTCTACTTTTAAAGTCCGACTTTGCAGAATTTATGGAAACAGAATTTACAGTGTTTTTTTCTGATAGAATCTATTAAATATTGTTTTACAGTTTTACCGTTGAAGCCATACAACAGAAATATTTCTATGCAGTACTCTTTGACTCAGTGAACTGATGGTTTTGTTAGCATGCTTTTGAGGGATTCTCCTAGAATATAATCTCTTTGTTTTTAAGTGGCTTGCCGCTGATGGTGATCATCCATAAGTCTTGGTGTGGAGCTTGCAAAGGTAGGTACAGTTGTTCCGCCCTGACATTGGGCTTGAGATGTCCTGTGCATGTTAGTGTTGGTGCTGGCAGAGCACTCCTGACTGCCTGAGCAATACCAAAGAAATAGGACAGGGATGGGAAGAGTAAGAGACAGTTATGTGGTGTATGGCGTTAAGTGTGTTAATGTCTCAGACAGTACATCTAAGCAAAATTGGAATTCTGTATAGAGGGATATGAATGGTTTAGGGAAGGAGAGAATCAATCAGAACTGGAGGATAATGGCCTGTGGCATGTATTCTTTCTGCCTGCCATGTTTGGAAAGAAGTATAGCTGGGCATGGCAGCTTCCGGTAATCCCAGCACTCACAAAGCTGAACAGAAGCATTGGCACAAATTAGAGGTCACCCTGAACAACAGAGTGAATCCCTGTTTCAAAAATAAGATAAATAAGAGGAGTGTGCGAGTCAAGTACTGTCGTGCATGCCTGTAGTCCTCGCGCTTGGGAACCTGAGGCAGGAGGATCAGAAATACAAGGATAGCATGCGATCCACTGAGAGACCCTGTTTTTTCTTAAACTTTCAAATTTTTCATTGATTTTTCTTTAGTACCCATTTTATTTGTTTATATCTTATTTTATGTGGGAGTGTTTTTTGCCTGTGTGTATATACGTGTACCACACTTAACACTTGGTGCCTTCAGAGGACAGAAGAGGGTAGATTCCCAGGAACTGAACTACCCTGTGGATCCTGGGAATCAAACTCGGGTCCTCTGCAAGATCTGTGAGAGCTCTTGACCACTGACCATCGCTTGTCCCAGCATTTATTTGTATTTATTGTATGGGTGTTTTGTTTTGTTTTGAGACGGGGTCTCGTGTAGCCTAGGCTACTCTAGATCTTCTGCCAGGGAAGATCTGTGCATACTGAATGAGCACTTTACTAACTGGGCTCCACTCCCAGCCCAAGAGGCCCATAACAACAACAGAAACTAAACAAAAACTTAGAGGGCCTCCTTATTCCAGCACTTGGGAGGCTGGAACCTGAGAACTCCAGTGAGGTCCAGGACAGTCTAGGTCATAGTGTGAGGGTCAACACCCTCCTCTCCAGCAGCTACTAACACTGTGGTTCCTTTTTCAATAGAAATTAAATTGAAATATAACTAAAAAGCAAACTGTGGGAGCCGTGAGAGTGAGATGGCTTATTGAGTAAAGGCACTTGCTACACAAGTCTGGCGTCATGGGTTTATTCCTGGAACCCATGTAAAGATGGAGAGAACCAACTCCACATAGTTGTCTTCTGAGCTCCATGTGTGCTATATGGCACATGCATACACACACATACACACACATTGATATATTTATATACGATATAATCTATATCTATCTATATATATGTACATATTTACAGTGTGGAGTCCAGAGTACAACTGTGGGAGTCCTTCTGCCATATGGGTTACAGGGATTGGACTTAGGTCATCAGGAGTGGCAATGGGCATCCTTACCCACTGGGACATCTCTTCGGCCCATAATTTTTTTTTCTTTTTGCTGAGATAGGGTCTCACTGTGTAGCCCTGTCTGTGCCAGAACTCACTACGTACACCAGGCTGGCCTCAGCCTGACAGATCCTCCTGTTGTGTCCTTGATTAAAGACTTGGGCTGCCACTCCCAGCCCCCATTGTCTTCATTTCATAGAGGAGAGTCCCAGTTGGGGTCACATCACAGTGCAAGTGCTAGAAGCAGGATGAGATCTGGGTGCCCAGTTCTTGTTTTATGATTGCATTTTTAGAAAGATTCTTGTTCTTATTACTTGTTAGTGTTGTTTGAGACAGGTCTCATTGTGTGGCCATGGCTGGCCTGGAACTTGCTCTGTAGAAAAGGGTGGCCTGGAACTCAGAGAGATTCACCTGTCTCTGAGTCCAAAACTCTGGAAGTAAAGGCATGCTACACGATGCCTGGCTTTTTTCTTTTTCTTTCTTTCTTTTCTTTTTGGAGACAGGTCTTGCTGTGTTGCACAGGTTGGTCTTAAACTCAAGTAGCTCAACATTCTGGGATTTTTTTGTTTTTTAATTTTAATTGTTTTTTTGTTTTAATTGTGTGTGCATGTTGAGACATGTGCATTTGTGTGCATGTGGAGACTGGAGATCAGCTCTGAATGTTTTTCCAACTGGTTTCCATGTTTTCAATTTTATTTTATTTATTATTGTGTATATGCTCACATGATGTGTAGGCGAATGCCAGAAGACAACCCCAATGTCCAGTTTTTTCCTTCTACCTTTTCATAGATTCTGGGGATCAAAGTCAGCACGGCAATTGCTTTCACCTGCTGAGCCATATTGCTAGTCCTTCCTTTGTTTTCTGAGTCAAGGTCTCTCAGTGGAATCTGGAGCTACCAGATTAGGTGATGCTGGCCAGCAAGCCAGCCAGTCCCAGGGATTCACTTATTGCTGCCTCCTGGACGCTGCAACTTCAAGTGCATGCTACTGTGCCCTGCTGTTTTCATGAGTGCAGGGAATTGAACTTAGGCCCTAAGGCGTGCATGCAGCACTTACAGACTAGGCCATCTCCCAGCCAGCCCTCAATGCTTGTTTTTTAGATTTAAAAGTTTCAATTATATGAGTTAGGTTAGTAAATACCTGACCCATCAATGGGAATTAGTGATATTTATACTCAGTAGTGTTTAGGTATCATAATGTCTCTGTCATTGTGAAATCTTTTCATTTTTTTCTCCCTAGCTTTAAAACCCAAATTTGCAGAATCTACAGAAATTTCAGAACTGTCCCATAACTTTGTTATGGTAAATCTGGAGGTAAGACTTCAAGAGTTCCCCCCTCC